AAAGCAATATCAGCCCTATTCTTTGCAAACAAAATCCATCACTAATGTTTGATGCATTTACAGTATAGGTAGGTGTTACTGTAATGGCAATCTGCCTTTTCAGCTTTTCAGTGCACGAACAGCCACAGGATCCTAGCTAGAGGACTATCATTATCAAATAAATTCAAACCGTCAGAAAAAATCTTCATGGCAACACTTTCCTATGCATACCGAAAAGCATTAAAAAGAGGCTAGTTGTTTGGGCTTGCGTCTCAAACAACAACATCAGAGATGGGGAAGAATATAAAAACGGATCGTTTTTCCTGATGAAAATAGCCGATTTGTTAAATATTCGTCTATCCATATTTGTGGATTCTGGAGACCCCCCACGAATACAAAGGGATGAATATTTACCCATTTTATTCATCCTTCGTATTAAAAAAAACACAATTTGGCATACTGGCTGCCAATCAGCTGATCAGCGGCAGAAAGGCAGCCACCACCTCACACAGCCACCCAATACCACAGCCTACTCCCCACGCCCTTCCTTTCTCTGCCTTAGGCCACATGCCACCCCACCCCCACTTACACCCTCTTACCTTAATTGCTACTGCCGAGGTCCTCTGTCCTCGGAGCCACGCATGTAAAAATGCATCCACCATGCATGTAAAAATGGTGGATGCAGCTTAATTTAGGGTAGGGAAGCTGCAGCTGCCATCTTTGCAAAGGGCAGCCAATCTCCCTTTTTACACACCGTGGCTGTGAAGGCCTGATGGCGACCTCGACAGTAAGGGGGTGTCAGTGGGAGTTGAGTGGTGGCTAAGGTAGGGAAAGGAAGGGGTGTGGGGTAGGCTCTTGGGGTGGCTGGCTGTGTGGGGAGGTGGCTGCTATTGGCTTCTAATCAGCTGATCAGCAGCTGATAGGCAGAATGGGCTTCTCTACCGTGTAGTAAACTCTCCTGGGGGGACCCAATTTGTGAGTGAATAACTCAGATGTCCGATATCCAATCTTAACCAATGTCTGCAAGTGAGTTGGGGAAGCTCTGTTGTGATTCTCTAAGTACCTGGGGGGGGGGACTTTCCTGGGGGGATCCTCTTTGTGACTCTATAACTCAGGGATCTGTGATCCAATGTTCAACAAACTTTCAGGGGTTGTAGAAAACCATCTGGGGAAGCTTCCCTGTACATATGGTGTCTCTAGGTGGTTGGGAGCCAGTGTTATAGTCATTTAAAGTGGAGATGAATCAACAGATTGATTCATCAATTCGTTGAAGAATATTCGTATATTTGTATTTGTTGATCTGTTAACTTTGATGAATAGCAAATCAAAACGAATCACCATTTTTTCATTTGTCCCCATCTCTAAACAACATCCTGAGCCTGCAGCTCTTCAGCAGCGAAGAGGAGGATCAGACAGTAAAATGCAGTGAAATCAAAGGATTCTGTATCTAGCTCTTGTTATTATTCTATTGCTCAGGTTGATGATGCATTGCCTCAGTGGCTTTTAAAACATCAGAACAGTCTTTAAAATAGGTTTATTGTCGAAGATTCTTGCACAAACAAACAAAAGCATGTTTCTTGTTTTACATTGTTTTCCATGGAGTTCTGTTTTTCTTTAATTTTTCCCACATTTCCCCCTATTTAATCCTTCTGGTTTTGATTATGTAGGAAATGGAGCACGAAGAAGCTTTTTGAAAAAGAGTGTAAAAATGCCTTTTAAAAATAGGAGTGAAACATGGGCCCCATTAGTTTGTTCAAACCAAATGTTCGCCTCTGTTGCAGGCAGGGGCCTTTATGGGAATAAGAACACACTTGGGTTTGAAGTAGAGATGGGGATATTTGTATTCGTATACGAATATCCCCACACAGGTGGAAATGATGAGAGTCTGGCCAATTAGGGCTGGACTGTCCACTCATGATTTCACCGCTGCTGCTGAACTTTTACGCTGTTCTCCTCGATGGATTAGCCACTCTGCAACCTGGCAGAGAGGCCTGTCATCCCACCTCCTGCCAGAACTAGGTAATCAATTGCAGACAACAGCGCAATAGGAAGGTCCAATGGGTGACCCTCGTGAGTTGTGAGTGGACGGGCAACCCTCATTATTCCCACCATATTTGTATTCGTATACAAGTACCCCCATCTCTAGTTTGAAGATACTTGTTTTTCTTATTGGGTAAACAGATACTAGAGTGGCACATGTTTCATTGTATTGGACTAGAGTGAGTGTCAGTTTGAATATACAGAAAATAATTTCCTGGTCATCTTTGCTAGGGTGTACCACCTTACCTTGCAAATAGTTACCCATAATGAGCAAGGTTGCACAGTAAAGAGGCTGCTGGATTCAAACAATTCTTCTTGTTACACTAGCTACATTTCCATTCAAATATTACTCTGTACCCAGTCCAGGTAACAAAACAATCACAACATAGAAGGGGCTAGACGCTAGGCCAGGCAGAAAGATGTTGCAGCTGTGGATGTTTTTTTGCAAGTGATGTCTATGAAACTCAGTGGTACTTATTCCTATGTACATGTTATGAAATTGTACTGTAAGGGTGGCAGCTAAGCATAAGCATTTGTGTGAGAGAGGGGGGGAAAGCCTACATAAAAGGACATGAAATCTCTTCGTTTGGTAGCATTTTTTGTTGTTGTTTAGTTGTTAAGTCATGTCCGACTCTTTGTGACCACATGGACCAGAGCACGACAGGCCCTCCTGTCTTCCACTGCCTCCCGGAGTTTGGTCAAATTCATGGTGGTAAATTTCGGTGACACTGTCCAACCATCTTATCCTCTGTCATCCCCTTCTCCTCCTGCCTTCACACTTTCCCAACATCAGGGTTTTTTTCCAGGGAGTCTTCTCTTCTAATGAGATGGCCAAAGTACAGTGGGATCTTGACTTAAGAACGGCTCGAGTTACGAACATTTTGACTTAAGAGCCACTCTCATAGGAAAATATTGACTTGACTTACATACTTAGATTTGAGTTAAGAACTGAAAAAAACCACATGGGAGGCAGGGAAAGTGCAAAATTTGAACTTTCAGTTAACTGTTGGCCAGTGAAAAGGGTGCCTGTCTGCTTCCTCACTCCTCCCAGCATTTAGAGAGTGGATTGGGAGTCTTCAGACTGCCTGGTACTGCGTGGACTGTATTTTCCCTGCCTTCCCTGAACCTTTCTTGACCTAAGAAAAAAAGAAACAAAATATCCCCCTCTAGTGATCGAAGGCAGAATAGCAGCTTCCCATTAGTTTGTATGGATGGAAAAGAGCAGATACGGATCAAGTGGTTTTCAATGCATTCCTATGGGAAATGCAGATTTGACCTGAGAACTTTTTGACTTGAGAACCGCCTTCCAATACGGATTAAGTTCTCAAGTCAAGACCCCACTGTATTGGAGCCTCAGCTTCAGGATCTGTCCTTCCAGGGAGCACTCAGGCTTGATTTCATTTAGAATGGATCGGTTTGTTCTCCTTGCAGTCCAGGGGACTCTCAAGAGTCTCCTCCAGCAACACAATTCAAAAGCATCAATTCTTCGGCGGTCATCCTTCTTTATAGTCCAGCTCTCACTTGCACACATCGATACTTGAAAAGCTTTGACTATGCGGAGCTTTGTTGGCAAGGTGATGTCCCTGCTTTTTAAGATGCTGTCTAAGTTTGTCATTGCTTTCCTCCCAAGAAGCAGGAATCTTTTAATTTTGAGGCTGCTGTCTCCATCTGCAGTGATCATGGAGCCCAAGAAAGGAAAATCTGTCACTGCCTTCTATTTCCCAGGAGGTGATGGGACCAGGGGCCATGATCTTAGTTTTTTTGATGTTGAGCTTCAGACTGTTTTTTGTTCTCTCCTCTTTCACCCTCATTAAGAGGTTCTTTAATTCTTCCTCACTTTCTGCCATCAGAGTGGTATTATCTGCATATCAGAGGTTGTTGATATTTCTTCCTGCAATCTTAATTCCGGTTTGGGATTCCTCCAGTCTGGTCTTTTGCATGATGTATTCATGATGGAAGGTTAAATAAGCATGGATTTCCCTGGTCCTTAATATAAGATATTGAATAGCTCCAAATAATCTGATGATTTATAAACATCTCAAAACTTTTTAAACTAAAAACAAAGATTATGGTCAGAAGCATAATAAAGATAAAAATAATAATAATTCTCCTATCTGTATTACATTAATTTCTAGCCAAAGCTTGATGGCTGAAAAAAGAATTATTTGCAGAGGAATATACTTGCCTGTAGTCATTAAACCACCGTTTTAAAAAAAGAATATTTCAAAAAATCCAGACACTTCAACTGTTTGTACCATTGGTTTCCTCTGAAGTGAAGCCCTCTTGCCAGTGGGCTTCCTTCAATAGAAATCAGTTTACCCTGTGAATCTGGAACTATTGCTCAAGTTCAAGTGGTCAGGGAGAGGCCTGCATTGTACCTTAGTTGTGGGACAGAAGCCCTAAAACCTGATTTAAATGTTATATTGGTCCGCCCAAAAGGAGAAAATGTAGACCTTTATTCATTCCATTCAATGCATCTACATAAATGGGACTCACTGTCAATTTCAGTCTTCCAAAACAAGTTTGTGGGAGGAAATAGTTCATCATAAGTGGCAGGATACAGAAGTGTGTCGTTTGTTGTTGGTTACTTTCAGTGCATCTTCCGATGTGGAACTGGTTTTAGCTCAACATTTGGTTTTGTCTGGCACAAGAAAAGCATGTACTGTATCACTTCTTGATCATACCCATATGTTGCTCTGACCTTTATATTGGCCCAGCCAGTATGCTGCCATAAGCTTTAAATTTAGATTTCAGCATTTTTCCTTTCAAAACCACCTGGTAGGTTGGGAAAGGTTTCATGATACTGTATTAAGAAATTGCAGCATGATGTGTTTTCCGTGACTCTTCCTTTCCGCATAACTTGCACATTGTACCACTCATAATTCAGACTATATCAGAATGTATATTGTATATTCTAGGAAAAAATGGCTTTTCCTTGTTTTTAATACTAAATGTGCTGTATTTTTTGTTTTGTTTTTCAGGTCCTCCAGTAAGTACCACAGACATTACTCTTGGTCTTGAATCAACAAAGTTAAGGCATTTATTTTTCTTTCTCTGTCGTTTCACGGGAACAGCATTTTCAGGAGAGGTGTGTCAGGGGCAAAAATTGTTACCAGATGCTGCTTCCTTCCTAGTCGTAGGGAAACAGTTAAAGAGGAAAAAGTTGTTTGAAAACTGTTTATTTCTAAGCCTTAAGGGGTTTGTGGCCATTTAAAACATACTAAAAGTACTTTTCCCCCCTAAAAGTGTTTTTGTTCATCTTGACTAAAGAAGAAAAAGAACATTTATTTATGTCCTCCTGCTTGTATTATTACTACAGATGTTTAAATTGCATCACTGGTTTCCAGCATCTGAGATGTCTTGAGCCATAATTACTAATGATGCTGACCACAAAGAGCTATGATTGCCCACATGAACATTCAGCATTTCATGCTGTTACTGATATTTCAAAAGTTGTCAAGGTTGCAGGCCTTGCAAAAGCTGCAGCCTCATATCATGTTCTCTGAATCCTCACCATCACTTTCTCTTATTCATTTACTCTTTCCCTAGGCATACACAGTCACAATAAGAGCAACAGTGGACAAGGAATGCCAGGGTGGGGGTGGGGTGGGGGCTAGGTTAGATATTTCCATAAAAGAGAACATATACCAAAAAGAGGGGGGGATATGTATTTGCATAATGTAATATCTATATCATAACATGTATTTGCTCATTTATTTTGGGAATAATTTGTGGAAGTTATACTTCACAAAAGAGTCATCAATTGTTTTTCCACCCAAATCCTCCCACCCTTGTTGTCTAAATTAGTATCCTTATTTTCATTTAATTGTCCCTCAGTTGATGCAGATCAGCGGATTTCCCTTGAATTAATTGTTTCAGTTTAGTTCCTAATCCACATAAGGATCTTCCACATCAAATGAACGATAAACAGTACCCTCTTGCAGTTTCCTGGTAATGGCACTAATGCAGGATTCTTACTATGAAATGAGGATGCGAGTGGTAAGAGGGTCGGCTTTTTTTAAACAGTCAAAACACTCCAAGGCAAGATGATTCACCCTGTAAAAGATGGGGAAATAACATCCTTACCCTTTCTGTTCCCCCCCAGAGACATTTGATGTGTCCCATTCACCCCAGGCAGCCTAGCTCAGCACTGCGGTGACAGAACTTTCCTCAGGACTATCTTAATTACATTTGGAGAGAGAAAACAAGCCAGGTGCATTAGCAACCGCTTGGCCTCATGTTTTTGTTTTTCTTAATATTGGAAATACTGAAACGGTGTGTTTCCCGAAGCAGCCCGTAAAATATTGAGTAGTCAGTTAGGCAAGAGACCGCCTAGCCGCACCTGCTGTTTCAGGTTACCCTCACTTGTGGCTTACAGCCCTGTACTTTGACAGTGTGGGGGAAGAGGAGAAGGCGTATTATGTCTGACTACTTAAAGGCAGTTCTTGCTTTCCACAAGGAACCAATCAACTATCTAGTTACAAGCCTTCTTCAGCTGGCCACAAAACAAACAAATAAACAAAGCAGCAAATCCTGTAATCTAGTTCAGAGGTTGCCAACCCCAGTCTGCGGCCCGGTGCCAGTCCATGGCCTGAGCTGAACCGGGCCACAAACACACACACACACACACACACACACACACACACACACACACACACACACACACACCTCCCCACAGCTGCTTTGCGCATGTGCGTGCGTTCCAGCACTGGCGTGAGTGCTCCTCCAACCTTTTGTGCATGCACAGGAGTGCCTGCACACACATACGCACACTCCCACACCCCTTCATGCATGTACCTGAGTATCTGCATGAAGGGGTGGGCGTGCGGGTGCCCCTGCACAAGGGGTGGGGGAGCACCCGCTCTGGTGCTAGCAGTCGGGTGGGTGCTCCCCTACTGCTTCGCCCATGTGCCTGAGTGCCCGAGCACCTGCACGAAGGGGTGTGTGGGTGCACGGGTAGGAGTGCAGGCACCCCTGCGCATGCATGAAGGGGTGGGGGAGCTCTCACGCTGGCAGGCAGGCAGGTGCTGCCCCACCACTTCGCAAATGTGCCCGAGAGTGAGCGTGCACCTGCGCGCACCTGCGGGGGGCACCTTTCTCAGATTCTCAGCCGGTTCACGGTCCCAAAAAGGTTGGGGATCGCTGATCTAGTTGACCTTACTCATTCCTCAGTGGCTAACTTAAGATTTTGTTTGTGTCCATGGTTATTTGAACCAGTGGAAGTTGTGGGTCAGACTCATAGACTTTTGGGGAAACAAATGGAAGTTATATTTTCAGCCTGTAGTTGCAGCTTTTGAAAGTGGCGCTCTCTGTGCTTTCATCTTCTGAGTCTTTTCACACACTTTGTCTGTAGGCAGGTTCTTTCAAATGAAAAAGCTCATTCTCAAATATATCAGAGGAAAACTGCATCAAAATGCAAAACAAATCCAGCATTTAATTGGTGTCTGTTAGTGGAACATAAAACAAAACTTTGCTTGAAAGAAAATAAATTATTTATAGCTCATTTAATATGTGTCACTTGGAACATTTTCCCAAAAGTGATTGTAAAAGTGTTCTCAATTTTAGAAGGATGCATTAAGCCGTTATGCCCCTTTCACCTCTCTCCTAGCACTTGTGAGCACTTGTTAAAAATTGAAATGTAGTTTATTGCTTTGAAGACTCTACTGTGGAAAACAATGGCCAGCAGTTAATCTATGTAATGTGACATGTAAAAACAATCACATCACCTTGTGTACATAAACATCCTTTTGCTTTGTGAATGACCTATTTTGATTTCTGATCGGGCTTTCATATAGTCAGTTATCAAAACTCTATTTAAAAAGGTAATCTGGTTAAAGTATCTTGAAAGTCATGGTGTTAAGCAGTGGGAGCAGAAGCTGGTTTCTTCTGGAGTTTTTTTTATCACGAGAGAAAAACTGAGTTGGTGATACAAAAGCTTACTCTGTCATACATTACTGTGCAAAATGAACAACAATACGATAGTGGAACTAAAAAAAGAAAAATGAAATGGGGAACATAATTATTCAGATAGTTTATATACTTTTGGTTTACACAGAATAGAGAACATCTATAAATGCTCTTCAGTTTAGTCTTTAAAATACAGACAGACAGACAGACATGTGTGTGTGTGCATACATACTTCACTAATCTACTGGCTTCATGGAATTTGTGAATCACAAGTAATTATTAGTACAGCATTATTTAATAGTGGTGGAAGATCTGTAAGTGAACAGATCTTGATAGGTATTCAAAATCCCTTCAAAGTCATCAGCTGAGGAGTTATACTGGCCTGTATGGCTGTAGATTACCACTGTAGCGCAAAGAGCGGTGAGTCTTATCTGGTGTTGGTGCATTATGCTCATTGAGAGTCATACAATAAACTTGGTTGTTAATGAGTGCCCAACTTTTTTATGGCTGGTCACTCTTTATTGCAGTGGTTCCCAACCTTGGCTCCCCAGATATTCTTGGACTACAACTCCCAGAAATCCCGGCCAGCAGAGCTAGTAGTGAAGGCTTCTGGGAGTTTTAGTCCAAGAACATGAGGGGAGCCAAGGTTGGAAACCACTGCAATTGGTTCTAGTTTACCAATCAATTAAACATGTGAAATACAATAAAATGTTGTTTCCATCTGGAACTGCAAAGATGTTGAAAGAGCAGTGCTTGATTGTAATATATATAAATGTTCAAACAAGTTTTAATGTTTCATTTCTCCGTGTACTTTCACTTGGATTTCCTGCATGGTGATTGAATTGTAGAGAAGGGTTTTCTACCCATTTCATTCACCTTTATATAACTATAATTATTTATTTGCAAAGCATTCTCTTCCCCCCCAAGCTTTAAATTTGTGACCTTAGAATGGATAGAGTCCCTTTAAACTAAAAATATTGGCCTATAAGGGACAGCTTTCTATTGAAGACTACTGATTCTCCACCACCTTCTCTTTTCTTCTTTTAGTCGCAAGGAATTGATTAACTGCATAACGTCATGTTATGCTGAAAATTCATTCTTCACTCCCTATGCCACTGGAGCTTCTTGTTACTTTTTAGTCATCATAAATTGGGTTCACATATTAAATATTAGACTTGTGGTGAAGTATTTATGGCTGCTAGATGACTGACCATCCCATCTGCAGAATGAGTGTATTGTCCAAAAGAACTGGTTACAGAGGATATTAAAATCACATGCTGAGTAGGTAATTTCAGCAAACTGTAGGATATATTTACCATACACATACAATGTAACATTAAACTTTTCAAACATGATAAAACATATGGCAAGGAAGAAGCAATAGGAGCTCATGGTCAATGCAAGTTTATCATCATCATAGAACTGCAGAGATGGAAGAGGACCCTATGGATCATCAAGTTGAGCCCCTATCAAGGAGGCACAGTGGGGAATTCAACTCCCAACGTCTGGCTCCACTACCAGATACCCAAATCAGTATCGAGCATGAATTACACAGTATTCATTTAACTCTGTAGTAGTTGTAACACTAGTAGTACATAAACAGCTGACACAGATTGAAAGGCCTCTTGATCCTGTGTCTTAGGCATACAGGGTTATCTGAGTAGGGCACTGGGGAAATGATAACTGAAAGATATTGTAAATTACTAAATGCAGTTATTATAATGGATCTCTTTTGTTTGAGGTATTTTTTTTCTGTTGTAAAAGGGTTCTGTTATTTAAAATGGGCACTGCTGTTAAGAATTTTACTTTTGCAGCTAGCCAAAGTCAGAAAATTTATGAAGGCATACATTAGGTGTAAAATAGTCACTCATTCAGTGATCTAGAATGCAGTCAGGTTTATCTTCCAATCAAATAAATTACCCTTTAGTCCATTCCATGACTTTCTCAAAACATGTGGATTTCATATTATAGAGCTCCTTGAGTAGAGTTCCAATAAGAAGAAGGATGAGATGGTAATCAAATGAATCATCTGGAACAGAGGAAGTGAAAGAATCTCATTATATTTGGTAATTTGGTACTTTTGTTGTAGAGCTATAGCAATGATTTCCAGACTTGATTCCCACATGTTGTTGGACTCTAACTCCAAAAATCCCAGACTATTGTCCATGTTATCTGCAACTCCTAGCAGTTGAAGTCCAACAACATCTGAAGACCTAAGTTTGGAACCACCAAGCTAAGAAATACCTACTGAGGTATGTTTCTGTATGTTTCAGTACTACAGTTGATCAGATGCATTTGGGGAGTCCCACACATAATGATACTTTAAGACAGTGATTCTTAACCTTGGGTTACTCAGGTGTTTTTGAACTACAACTCCCAGAAATCCCAGCCAGCACAGCTGGTGGTGAAGGCTTCTGGGAGCTGCAGTCCAAAAACACCTGAGTAACCCAAGGTTAAGAACCACTGCTTTAAGACATATGAAAGACTTTAGAATCAAAAGGAATATGGGAAAGTGAAGCACATGCTTGAAACTCAGATTAAACATACAGTATAGTTGGAAGATGCAAGCTCTCTTGAGTTCTTGAATTCATTAAGTTTCCCAAATAGGTGAGACTTACTTCATGTTGTCAAAGCTGTCTTGTCTATTGTCTTGTCCTTGAAACCAAGGAGACTTACGTTTTAAAATCTTTGTGGGCCATACTGCACACAAGGTGGCCTTAGGCAAATCAAAATGGTTCAGCTTAGTCTACTTCACAATTGTTGTGAAGGTAAAATGAAACTGATGTTACCCTGCCATGAGCTCTTGTGTGTTCTCCTCACTGCTCAGAGAGGAAGAAGCAGAAACAGAGCTTCTGTTCCCTTTTAGGGGTCATGTTGACTGTGATGTTTTGCTGGTGGCGAGTGCAACTCACTGATCTTATTGTTTTCCTTATTTAATATCACAGGGGCAATCAGGACGAGATGGTTACCCGGTAACTTTGCCTTTCCCTTTATTTTGCCGTTTATCCTCCAAAACTGCACATCATATTCAATCTCATGAGCTTTTTTCCTCTCTCTTTCTCACCTCTTCAGTCATCACAGTTAAATGTATTTAATCTTAATATTTTCAAGAAATGTTTGATACACATAGACATCATTTCGTTAATGCATGAACAAGTAGAATATAGTTTGCATCTTGGATGTGACTCAACCTCTGTTCACACTTAAGGGTATATGCAAAGGTCCCAAGTACACAGACTTCCTCATTCATTTCACTATCAAGAGTAGGGAGGTCTGTGCATACAACAAAATATTTATTTGAAACTGGAATCTGTTTCCCCCCTCCCACCGCCCGTCTTTTTGGAGGATCTAGGTTGACTAGAGTTCTGTTGAGAGCTGTCAGCTTTTGTTTGATTATATAAAAGAGAGTAAGAAAGTGTATTTGTAGAGCAAACTATATGATCTCTTGACCATTGCAGTATATAAATGGACTATCATATGAATGTAAAAATTATTCAACTGTTCTTTCCTTTAGGTCATTTGTCTACGTTCATGCTAGAACTATCATTTGAAAGCTGTTTGCATAGATTTCAGCAAAGCAGATTTCAGTTGATAGTTCTAGCAAGTAGTTGTGCAGATTACCTGAAAGGCACACAAGCTGGGGAATGTGAAATAAACAATATTTCTGTTTGATATTGCTATTCCTCCTATTTTTGTGACTGTTCGCTATGAATGACCTAACACTGTCTGTTAGGTTGCGTTTCTATAAATAGTTAAAAATCAGTGGTGGTTAGTTCTGAGGAGATACGTGCCTGATAGATGGATCCTTTTAATAATCCAGTGTACTGGCATTATGTAGTTGTTTTTAAGACAGTGTTAGGTCATTATGTAGTTGTTTTTAAGGGTGGGTAGGGCAGAAATAAAAGCTAATGAGACTAAATTTTCCCCCCAGTACAAACTTCTTCTGGTTCTTCAAAGCTTATCATCCATTTTTAAAAATGGTTGTTGTGGGTTTTTCGGGCTCTTTGGCCACGTCCTGAAGGTTGTTCTTCCTAACATTTACCAGTCTCTGGCTTGCATCTTCAGAGTGTTGTCCTCTGAAGATGCCGGCCACAGAGACTGGCGAAACGTTAGGAAGAACAACCTTCAGAACACGGCCAAAGAGCCCGAAAAACCCACAACAACCATTAGATCCCGGCCATGAAAGCCTTCGCGCATACATTTTTTGAAAGTTTAAATTTCACAGATTCTGCACACACACTCTGTCTCCAAGCAGTGGCATGCACAACTTCTTTCTTGTAATGTTTTAAACAGTGAACCACATTATGTTTCTAGCAGTTCCTCCCAGTTGATTGCATGGCATTATGAGATTAGTGTGTTGGGGGAATGGAGGGGAAAAGATACTAGTGGTAATGTAAGCTTGAATCCCTGTATTTTGGGCACACAATGTGACTACACAGCAGGGAAAACCAGCTTTGATTTTGAGTTTTTGAAATTGGTTCCCTGCTGGTTTCTGGGGGTGAAAGCTCTGTAGCTGTTGGGACAAATGCAAGCAACTAGAAGCAGAAAGCTGTGAAAGTATTTCCTATTCGATGACTTCACCTATCTTTCCATGACTACTTTGCCCATTCCTAAGAGCCATTCTAATAGAGATGCTGCCAGAGGGAACTGTATTAATAAAAAGCTGGCCAGTGTCTGGTTCAATATTCTGCTTGCACATGGAGTGCCAACAGCTGAAGCTGACTCAGTGATCTGAGAAGGTGCCAATCAACAGTTTCCATCAGGACCAACTCCTTCCTTTTCCCTCTTCTTCTTTTTTAAATCACTGAACTGTTACAGCGCTAACTTTGGGAAGCATTTTTTAAAAAGAGAAACTGTTTGCAGACAACAGCCACTAGACTGAGGAAAAATGACACTCCCATTGCCATGCTTTTGCATCAAATAGGTGATCACACAGGGTAGAAAGCAGAGAAAAGCAATGCCACCTGAACCAAAGCAAAATAAACCTCTTCCGCCAACTGAACAAATAGAGACTATTACCCACTGAAAAGAGATGAATCCCCACTGGGCTTCCCAGAGCACAGCTGTGTCATGCGGCCTCCATTTTTAACTCATTTTCACAATGTGAAATCCGACACAAACTGTGGGGTAAATGGGCAGTGTAGTTGGCCCCATGTATAGGTTGTCAGTGAGCCATGATTGGCAACTGAAAAGCAGAACTATTCTGGAAATAACATACTAGGATGAACTGAAGCCACCACACCACAGAGTTCTGCTATAGACCACAGGGGGGAAAAAAACACCAACATCTAAAAACCTAAGTGATTTACAAACACAAAGAATGTAATTTATTAAGGATTAGGCAAATGGTTCTCAGTGGTCTGCTTAAATATAGTTTCTAAGATTTTGAATACTTATTAATGAATTAGTGTGGGCTTTAAAAATACTGCTTTCTCTCATGCGGGGTGAAAAATTGTTTCTTGCAGCCCCTAATTCTATTTTTAGTCACAATCCCCTGCAAACAGGAAATGCTGGAGTGCACCAAATCCTATAGTTACATACCTGAGCTTGGCAATAAATTTATAATAGCCTTGGCAGAAAGAATATCATAACTATGTCTGAAAATGGCACTTTCTTTGAATTTTAACCCGTGGAAGGTTCTTTAGAGCAAAATTAGAAACTTCATTTTTTGGACTGTACTTCTTGCATAAGATTTCAGTGTGATTATAAAACCTATTTTCTTCTCTTTCTCTCTACCTGTAAGAGCAGTATTTCTTATATGCCTCTTCCTTAGTCACATTTCATGCAAGCAGTGGTGTTAAAAAAGATGTGTAAGAGTTTATTCACTTGTGATATTTTCCATGAGGATGGTGCTTTGTTGACGCAGAATGGGTTTTGAAGAAGAAATAGACTAGCAACAATACTGTAGCAGTTCTTCAACCCTGAAAACACTTCCAGGAAGGAAGACATAGACCCTGTCTAATTATCAGCAGCACCAATAATGGATGATCATTTTGTTCCTTGCCTTTAAGTGTTACTGAAGAGCAGCTGAAATAGTCAATTACATACAAGAATATCTATGCTCTTTTTTTCACCTCAGATTGTGCTTGTATTGTCAGTGTCTTTGTGTTCAGAGAAGGACAGTTGAAAGACTAAAAATACAAGTAAAGTCTGTCTTTTTTAAGTACTGGGAATTGGCTAATGGCCAGAGTCTGTGAGAGAAAAGATATGTAGGCATGAGGAGGGTCTTTGATAACATCAACTAGTTCCAGTCCCTAATGATCCCACTAGTTAACCTAGTCAGCCACTGCTCTAATTTGATTTTTTTAAAAAAGAGTTGCTAATACTTTCAGGTCTCTTCTGGTCCTTAGGTAATGTGCATACTACAGTTGAATATTGAACCCAAAGGCTTCCTTTTAATTACCTGCATATTTATGCACATATCCATATCCATGCATGTTTGGGTCAGCAACTGAAGCCACCCCATCCCCTCCTGTCATTCTTAGATGAGCAAAGGCAAATAAGAAATACGTGCAATGGCTACCCTAGTGGGTGCTGGTTTAAAACTAGGAGTTGTCCTATAACACCATCTGATGATTTCCAGTGGCTAAAATTGACATTTCATTAGTTCTTATACTGGTAATACCATTTATTGGCTGAATAGACATACCCTTCTTTTCTCTTCATCCTGGCTAGCAGTGAATGAAATCTGGTACTATCGTAATCTTTCACCACATCTCTGCTTTCAATCCTTCCTAAATCCATAGTCACTCCTGTTGTTTCACATGGCATCACACACACACACACACACATGACACTATCCTGATTAAAGTGGCCACTGTGTGGGGTTTTTCCCTTCACAGAAACATCAGGCTCTGTTTTTACTATATATTATTAGAGATTCACTCCAGAACCAAGGGAAGGGTGTACACTGTGCAGTGTCAAATTGGAAGCCTCTTAATCTGCTTTGATGTGACATGTTTCTGATGTGTGTATCTGGACTATGTCAACACTTCTTGTCCTACTTCTTGTAGAACTCATGCGGTAGAGGAACCCATTATTCTGGGCAGTTCTCAGTCTGCCTGTGTCTATCTGTTGGTCTTTGTTCCTCCATGCACTGCCTATTGTATTCCTCTTTGCTTTCACTTTTCGTTACACTCCCTATGCTCCTCCTTGCTCAGATTTCTTCCTCATGACAAGGTAATATAAAAATACAGATTTAGTCAGAGAGACACACACTCATACATACATATATACACACTTCAGATGAGGTGATTGAAGTCTCTTGTCAGTCCTTGTCATGTTCATCTGTACTTGCTTTGAAGTCCATACCCCTGAGATAAGGAAGTTCAGAAATTACTGTTGTTTCTATAACTGGGTTTGCTACCAAGAACATGTTGTGTCCCATCCATTTTGATCCTTGCTCCCCTACAAAAGAACAATGTGGCACATGTTTCATTAGTGTTGATTATATTCTTCCCCTTTAATGTTATTTTTGCAAGAGGTGAAACAGGAGTTGGCAGCTATTAAGTAATTCAGATGAGAATTCTGGTAACCTTTGAGAGAGAAACATTTCAGTGGGTTTTTAATCTTAAAAATAAAAACAGGTGTCCAAGTCATGTTTCAGCAGAAGCTCTGTGTGTTTCTGTACTTTCTTAGATTCACATATTGTTCAAAATAGAGGTGTAGATGCTAAAGGGAAGGAAAGAGATAACATTTGCTATATGCAGCATTTTGCTTTCTCAAGTCATAGTGAATTGCTTGGATTCTCCAACTTCTTTGGACCTCTGAGAAGATCTGAGTTTTTTGGGGGGAGGTGGTAGGAACTCTGTTATGTTTTGGCTACTGAGCAGTAAAGGAGTGAGTTGCAAAATGTTTGCTATTAGGTGCGAGCAACCACAAATTATACCGCGGTAACAAAACACCCATTTAATAGATGGGCAAATTAGTGAGTCTGGAAGACCAACATACTTATTTTCTGCTCCAAAGGAAAGCATCGGGTACAATGTTCTTCCTTGGTGAGACGTCCCTTCCCACTAATTTTTACACTAGCAGTTCATACACTCCCCAAGTAGCCAAAAGCACTTAGCTATCACTTAGGATATGCTTTAGCCTAAAGAACAACCACCCCCAAAACCTCTAACAAACATTTTCTCTAGCCAAACAAAAACTCTTTGAGTTTCAAATGGAGGCAGAAAGGAGGAGAGAAAGGGCAGAAATCAGATTGCTGGCCACCTTTTGTTTTGAGAAATGGGTCATAAATTCCAAACCACTAACTCTTGCAGACTGCATACTACAGCTATCTCCATCTAAGATGCTGCGCCTGGCCCCCTACAGTGGACATAAAACATTTGGGACTTCTATATAAACATATTATTTTGGAGCTATCCATAAGAACTTGGTGCAGAGCCTGAGGAAGGTGAATTATCATTGAAAGCTCACTCTTTTTTCCCCTGAATTTTCAGGTTGACCTTCAAATAAATATGCACTATGAAAAGTGTGTTAAATATTATAACGATTCTTATTAAATATAATTATGCAAAACAATACCATTCCTAATTGCAGTGGCTTTGCTTTATTACAAAAATAATGTTTACTTGGGCTGGCTGGATGCATGTGTTTGGTTTGTCGGTTTTTTGTTATATTTTTATTTATATTTTGTAGCTTGTATTAAAAGTGGAAATGAGAACATTTTGCAAAAAGTTTGGAAGAAAAGGAAGCAGCCAATGGTTTTAACCTCTTGTTGCTGTGTTAATGAGAACAACTTTTGTCAAACAGGAAATTCATTCTCTCTGCTTTGCCTTCTTTCCCCTACACTCCCAAATATATCAAATGTTCTTGTCTTGGAATGCTCTTGCAACTGCTGAGGACTGGGAGTATTTTCCTTGTGTCCCAGAATCCTCCTGAGACTCACCGAGAAGCACTCTGAGTCAATCTACTGGTCTGATTGGATATTAATTACAGAGAATGGGGTTAAAAGGTTACTGACCTTGCATGCTCCTCTCTGTGCCCTGGAGAATTAAAGCCATTTGATTTTAATTTACTGCTTTCTGGCATCCGTGCACACATGGGTGACCTCTAGACAATGTCTCTGTGTCTAAGACCCTGTTAAGACAGTCTTTCAAGACTGGCACTTAGCCTGTGTACAGTTGAGAAATATTGGGACTCACAAGCCTATGCCCTATTGGCTAGTTATGCTGACCTAAGCGCAATGAGGGTAACCATGGCAGCAAATTGACACTTGCTAATGAGTTGCTGTTAGCATCCCTCATTATGCACCCCTTCCCACAACTGGTGTGTAACACATGTGGCAACTTGTTAGTTAAAAGCCATCTTTTTGCTGTGGTTTATGCCACTGTATTGCACTTTCACCAGCCTAATGATCTGAAAGGATTCTGGCTACAGAATCTGTGGAATCTGGTAAAAGTAGTAGCCATTAATATATAATGAAGTATGGAAATCAATTGTAACAAGTGACTATAGAATGTAGAATATCACTGTGTTTTTCACCTACAGGTAGTAGTGAGCAATCGGTTCACTAATATAGCTAGGTAGAATGTACAGTACGTCGTTCTGAATCTAGGTAAATGGAGACAGCAAAATACTATCCCTGTTGGTGGTTGGTTTCTCTGATTGATGGTAACAAGCAAGGAAGAAAAGTGAAGGAACATGCCCTATTATGTCTTTCTTTGTCTCAGAACGCTACCATTGAAATTTAATGAGTTTTCCTTGAGTTGCTTGTATGGGCAGAAGAAGATCATTCTTTTTAAGGAACAGAATTTGATACCCAGGCTTACCTTAGTTAACCTTTTAACATATTGGAGATGCCATGTACATGTCTGTACGGAACTATTTGAGTAATGAAGGATCGGTCAGCATGAATAAGAGTGACAGAGTCCAACTCTATATTTGGAAAACCTCTGCAAATCCAAGCACCTAACAGATATTTAGGCATACCTTGACTCCAGTTTAATCACAAATTCAAACGCATGATCTAAATATCACTGGCACAAGTAGATGTCAGTACGTAGTTTTGGTATTCTAATTAATTAGAGAGAAGACTGTCCATACTGCGTTTTTAATAGGACCGTTACAAAAACCTCAGTTCTTCTTTTTTAAGTCAATGGATTCTTCTTTTTGGTCTTGCTTCTTACATATTTTTCTTAAGCTTAAAGGCGCCCTCTAGTGCTTTGCACAGGCTGCAGATAATGGGGTTTTTTTTTTCTTGCTTTCTGTTATTTCAGGCAATTGCTTGAAAATATAGTTATTCTCAACTCTTTTGTGTACTGATCTGTACCTAGATTTGCACAGTGGAGATATGAAGCAGATGCAGAATGTAGAAACAACTAGAACATTTGAATAAGCTGTGTGAAAGATTGGTATTACCCATTTCCACAAACAACACTCTGGCTGTGTTCTGTTCAGTGTCTGAAGCAAGGAGAGGGTTGTAAAAAGTGCAGATGCAGGTCAGAACAGATTTCTTCAGAAAGTCTAAACAGCTGATGTCACAGATGGGTTGTTTACTACTTTTCTGTTACAGTCTTTTTAAACATTGCCATATTCATTTAAAAATAATATGGGCCAGTATTTTTAAAATGGTATACTTAATAACCTCTAGGCATAAATATATTTTCTAAGCCCTATTGCCTACAGATGGCAGGTTTATGTTTTATATTAGTTCATGAAGAAACTTAGGGCTTAATTGGCAGATGGCCTGTGCATTAAGAGGGCAGGGCAGCCCGCAGGTTGGAGTATATGGAGAAGAGTGTGGATCACTCAGAGAATGTACAGCTCAGTAGACTAACGTCAATATATTTGGCACATAATGTATACAAAGCATCATTTTGAAAACATGGAAACAATGCACTAAGTGGATGATAATTAACTGTAACGTCAGTATTAGATAGAATTGAATTAAGCACCTCTCATTTCTTTTTTATTTAAGTCTCTCCAGATGTAAGCTGATAACAGCATCCATCATCCTTAGTCATCAGACATGCTAGCTGGAGCTGATGGGACTTAGGGCTGAAATGCCACTGGTTCTGTACCTTCTCTTTAAGCTCGTATTATCAATACTCCAAATATTATCAATACTCTTACAAAGTGCTATTTGTGCATTCAAAATGCACATAAACTTCACATGCAGAAATAGGTTTCCACGCAGCTGTTGCTACGTCATATTGAAGGCATTATAACAATTTATATCTAGCTTATATTTAGCACCCATAAAAATGACTATTTTTCTTGCCATTCTTTTTATGTAGATATTCCAGAAATATTCCATATTTGGGTTAATGACAATGATTGCCTCATTATTTCCCCCATTTAGTAGCCGTCAAAAGATTGGCTACTGTTAGATGGATCCAGACTAATATCTGATGTTCGACCCGGATGCATTCTTCCATACATTTCTAACAGTATAAGAGATTAAGGGCATCTTAATCTTTTCCTGAAAAAGTTATTCATAGGCACGTTTGCCAAAAATGATTTTTAAAATGGATCTCGTCATGCACCGTTCCAGTGTTGATTCATCCCCTCTTTGTAAGGTGAGCGGGCGTAAGATATGTTTTTTTTTATAAAAACATATGATGGCCCAGAATTTGAGAAGGAAGCCTCCAGAAGAGCATGGGAAGAAGTGCTGGCGGCTGCAAGGAAAGAAGAGAATAGGTAAGAATGGCCTGTGCCCTCTTCTCATCTGGGAAAAAGTAGCATTTATTCAAATAAAAATATAAAATTAATGAGAACTTAAGAATAATCTTTACAGAAGAATTCTGCGGGTAGCTCACTCTGCCACATGAGACACAATGTGTGCTAATGTTCAGCCTTCATCTGTGAGCCAGCATGGTTTCTATTCCTTTTCACACACTTTCAACACATGGTATCCAGTTGACATCTGCCAGTGGTATGGGTACAGGACAGTTTCTGAGGCACTCCCTCTCCTTCCTGCACTACATTTCATGTTGTCCCAAATGGTCCTCCATCATCCTGGAACAGCTTTTAGAAAATATGAGGCACTGCAGAGGGGAGTGGCGGTGGTGGTGGCATATTGTCAAGTTGCTTCTAACGTATTGCAATCTAATATAGTTTTAAGGGGGATATGAGATGTTCAGGGAGTGGCTTACTGTTGCCATCCTCCTACAAAGTTTCCATGGCCAAGTGAAGATTTGAACTCAGTTCCCTTAAGTCCTATCGCATCACCCCAAATCCCCTCTTCTCCTACAGTGGCACATCAAAGGGACACTGTATGAAAGCACTGTGACATTCTGTGCTATCTGTCTGAATGAACCAAAATATTTTGAATTAGGAGGACAGAAAACAAGAACGAGAAATTGGTGATATTTGGTAACATAACCTTTATTTTTTACCAAGAACATATAGTGAGAAGTGTCTGTAAAGGACTGATCTAATTTCAGCTATATGGAGCAGTTTTAAGAACTGGCACACCCTACACTTGTAAGGAAATATGTAGTGGACGAGTAAAGCAGGGGAGTTGAAAACAGAATCGACTAGTGATTAGACCATGGACAGTTCCAGGCTCCAAAGAGGTAGTGGCTTCTATGAGCTGTGAAGTACTCAGGTTGGGATATTGTTCCTAAAGACTATCACAGACCACACTTACTAAAAGAAACTAAACAGTGAGCTCGAGAGCTGTGTTCTGACAGTAGCTGAATCTGTCTGCAGGCCACGGCTTCCCACGAAAGGATCTGATTCTATAAAGAGTGCCAACTACTCCATTAGATGACGTGAGATGCTGGTTTTCAGAGCTCAGATACAGCAGCAAATCTTTGTGGGATTTGTCTATTATTCCTCTTTCACATGGGTTGCTGCTGTTGTTGCTGCCTGAGAATCCAATTTCAAGGTCACAGATATAACACAGACTTGGAGAAAATGTTTCTCGTATTCAGATGTCTTAAAGTCAAGGCAGTTGGTTCAATGCATAACAAAAGTAATTTTTTAAAAGAAGTTTAGTTTATGTCTCCAGTTTTAATGAACATTCTTCACAGTGTATGATTTTAAAAAATTGTGGCGTTTGTAAACTTGTTGTTACTGAAGTCATTTGCTTGTCTGTATGGCTCGTTTGCCTTCTATTTTTCCTCCAAGGGTCTCCACCAGGTACAAATACCTGTTATCTCATTTGACCAGGACTTCATTACAGGGACAGATCCCTAGAGTACTTCTGCGCAACTCCCACTGCACTGTATTCATCCTGCACTCTGTTGTTCCCAAAGTGTTGTTGATGCCCATTGTGACAGGTCATTCAAGAGGGGGAACAGCTGTAGGAGGGGGTTAGGTGTGCTAAGCAGACCTTCATTTGGAGAAGAAAGGAGCGTTATCAGCATGGCCTTTTGACTGCAGCCTGATAGTTGTTTGTGGCATGCAAGTGATCACCTTCTTGAATCCTAATAAATATAAAATTTAGGCACATTTTCGTTCTATTGAGCTCTGTGCCATTAAGTTAATGTTTTTAATCACCTTCAGTGCTTTTTGTTTGTTTGTTTGTTTTTTGTCTTGGTTTTGTGGGTTGTGTTTTTTTAATTTGTTTTCCAACAGCATTTCTGTGAATAAGCACTGGTGCATAGAGACTGAATACAATAGGGATGAGAACACAGTACATCAGGATCCTCTTTCATGTTCACCAAAACATTAGCATATGTAGATCCAGTTAGCATTCCTCCTAGAATAAGCGGCATGCCATATTTACTCTGCAAGTAGTTCTATTGATGATAATGGGTCAGAGAAAGAATAATAAATGACTGAGGTTTAGAGTAAAGCAAAATCTGTGCATTTCCCCCAACTTGCTACATACTTTAGTTGTTCTTGGTTTAATGGATTATTAGAAGGTCCTCAGACATTGGCTTGTTAATTCTGATTTTACGTGTTGCCCAGTCTTGAGTCAGCTTCCTGGTGGGCATTTATCCTCATAAAACTTCGACAGCAATATTTTATAAAGAGGGAGACTGGTTTGTTTTTTTTTAAAAAAAAAAAACTAAGACTGGGTTAGTTTCTGATGCTTGAGCACTGTAGACAGCTGCATCTGGAAGAGAGTAGAAAGAGAAAATGAAAAACAGACGCAAGAGCAAATACTAGAAGTAGACCTTTTTGGTTAACCCATAAATACAGCCAGATCTTCCCATTGTTATGCCATTTAATGGTCCATATTATTTTTAGGGAGGGGAAAGTCGCGATGACCTGATTGTTTTAGCAGTGCCAGTATTGTGCCTTGGGATTGAGCAAAAGAAGAGGTAAAAGCATGTGACCTTTTGCTCAGTCAGTCCTATATACTCCTTAAGACATTAAGGGGGGGGGGGTATGTCAGGCAAAATGAAGTTTGTAGAATATCCAGAAGAATGGTAAGAAGAATAAATGCTGAAGGGGCGTACATTTCAATGTGTGCTTTCAAGGGAGTGGCCATAGCATACAGCAGCTGCTTTTTATGCTGAAGGTTCATTCCCTCACATCCCAAGGAACTAAACCTCAGACCTTCAGCTGGAAAAACATAAACCTTGGCTTTGAACCTTGGTAAGCTGCAGTCAATTACAATGATATAGAATGAGATGAACAGCCTGGCTTAATGTAAGGAATTTTCCTATGTTAGCAGGGTAATTCTGCTGTGGACAAAATTGTCTTTTTTAGACACCTCCTCCATGCTCTTTTTTTGTTTTTTTTACCAATGGCTAAGGAGCCAGAGGTTGGGAGTTCAATTCCTCACTAGGCTTCCAGGAAGAAGAGCCAGCCTGTGCGGATTTGGGTCAACAGCACATTCCCAGGTGCCCCCAGAGGAAGGGAATTATAAACTACTTATGAGTATTGCCTAACTGGAAAACCTTGAAAAGGGTCATCGTAAGTCAGAATTTTCACATGATATATAACCAAGATAACCACTCCTAGCAAAATAATGTATAATTATAATTTGCTACTTTGCTTTTATAGATCCGCATCGCACAGGTTGCAATAACGAGGGTCCAGCCCCATGGGGCCAGATGGTTGGTTCACAATTCCGCCGCTGCCGTGAGCTCCAGGATCCTTCCTATCACGGCAGAGCTTGCAATCTGTGCGCCACTCTTCGACTGGGCAGAGAGGCTTGTCGTCCCGTCTCGTGCCAGGAGTGGCAAGCCGATTGTGAGCGCCAGAGTGATAGGAAGGATCCTGGAGTTCGCGGCAGCGGCAGAATTGTGAATGGACCATCTGGCCCCATGGGGCTGGACCCTTATTATCGCCACCTGTGCGGGGGTATTCGTGTATGAATACCCTCATCTCTAATCCATATCTTTCGTGAGCTGCTGCTGTCAATGGTTACTGTGTTAAATGTTGCAGCTTTCCTTTCTCCTCATTCATTAGAAGTCAATTAGTGTCAACCTGTCTTTCTAAACCTTTTCCAAATCTTTATTATGTGATCACAGACCCAAGTTAAAACAATACAAGGATGCTGCGATATCACTAATCCAGTATTGCAGAAGGGAGACCGTTGAATCTGGCCCTGGAGAAAGCATGCCGGTATTTGGGGACACCAAGTATTTCCAGATACTGAGCATGCTTTGAAAACTCAGAATTTAAGCCAAGATGTGTTGGCGATCAGGATTCACGGACTTTTGATAGGGAATATTGCAAGTCCATGTCTTTGAGTCTTTGTTCTAAAATGGATTTTATGCAGAGAAAGTCCATAGAAAAGCCAAGGAGGAGTAATTTAGCTACAAATCCTTTAAACCAAGAACAAATAAAAACATATTTTTGCAAAAGATAAAGATAACCTAAGGACAGTTGAGCATATAAAACTCTTAATCAATACCGAAAGGCAGGAGACCAAGCTCTACACGCTACAGACATGAGGCCCATCTCTAATCGTAGTCCTCCAGATGAGGCACACTGGGGCATTCTAAAAACTGAGCTAGGATAAAATTTTGGCCTTAACTACCTGCAATGCAGCAGGAATGAATCGTGCCCCCTTGGTGTGAACAAAAACTGAAGCACCGCTTTGCTCGTATTGTGTGCCATCTGCACTGCCAACTGTCTGTAGCTGGTCCAAGAGAAAGTGGAGCTAAAAACAATTCCTTTTCAGCAGATATTGCTTTGAGCCAATGCTGAAGCTTACCTCTATTTCTATGATAAATAAAAGGAATCTCAACTGGTGAAAGCTTTGGTTAAATCATGGACTGACTGACTGACTGGCTGGCTGACTGCCTGACTGATTTGGAAATACATTGACAGAACTCTCCACGTGCCGAGGAAAGCACTTTTTTGTTCATAAGTACTTTATTAATTAAATGTCTCCACGAGTTATGTAATGGCTGTATAATTTCAAGCATTTTTAATGTTAGGCTAACTACAGTTTATAGATCAAGATGACAATGAATTGATGTCATAAATGCCAGTATTGCAAGCTGCTTGAAAGTTATGAAAACTGTCCAGAGCAGAAAGAGTGGTGGGCAGAAGTTTGGGCTCCTATTTTTATAAATGTCATTGCTGTAATCTGAATCTTACCACTCATGAGAGACAACTTTTTATTTCCTCACATGGGTGGTAAGGAAGTTTTCGATTACCTTAGTTTGTAATTTTGGTTTTGAGCAAATTACATCTGTTGTTCTCCTCATGCATTCTACAAGAAAAAGCCACAGTATATACTTGAAAGGGGAAAAAAAGAAGAAGGCAGCAAGTCAAGCCACAGGGATGCCGTATTCCTTGTGAGGGATGAGGTCGTTTTCTTTCATTGGTTTTGTATACACTTTTCCTCTGTCCTGTTCTACTCAAGCTGTTTTGTCAGCACGTAGATCAAGGAACTTTGAAACGTACACTTAACTCCAGTTCTCCTTTTCTCCTAAATTGACATGAGGCTGCTTAGACATTTGATACATGGTTTTGCACCTAATAATGCCCAGAAAATTACCAACAATGAGAGCTGTCTATGTGTCTATATAAGAATATCAACAGGAATCCTATGCTGTCCTTTCTGGAGTTTTCTAGGTAGAGAATACATAGAAGTGGTATACCATTCCATTCTTCTGGGGTGCCCTGGGACTGTGCAGCTTTTCCAAAGCCACATAGGCTGGCTGTATTCACAGGAGACAACGTGGGGAATTAAACTCTATTTTTTATGTATGGATGTACTTACTTACTTACTTACTTACTTACTTACTTACTTACTTACTTACTTACTTACTTACTTACTTACTTACTTACTTACTTACTTACTTACTTACTTACTTACTTACTTACTTACTTACTTACTTACTTACTTACTTACTTACTTACTTACTTTTTTGCATTATCAAACCACTTCTATCTCACAGCAAGCCTAATAGAGTTTTTAAGATACAGTCATATGGAAAAGAAAGTACATCCTCTTTGAATTCTATGGTTTTACATGTCGCTTGCCAGATAGGAGGCGGAGTGATGCAACACCTACCACTGCCTTTAAAGCTGCTAACAGAAGTTTACCAAAATATTAACACACCGGCTGCGGCGGTGGCAGTGGATTATAGAAGAGCAACTGCATGACAGTAACGGCCACCTTCTCTGGTTAATTTGCTTCAAAAAAGTATAAATAGGATCATACACACATGCCATATCATGAAGGAGTATATCAAAACATAACCAGAACAAAACAATAGAAACTTCCCAGCAAGGGAGAACTAAACTGTAGTTACACTGCTGGTCAGTAAAATGAATCGCTAATGGCCCTGTGTCATATGACTGCAAATTTATGCAACAATCTAACTTGGTCATAAGTAGGGGAAAATTCCCTCTTGTGACCAGGGCCAGAAAAGCCTTGCATTTAAATCAGATGGGTAACATTTGGTCCTAAGTATGTAATTAGATTGGAGTTACCATCTTCTCTCACCATTGGCTGTACTTGTTGGGGCTGATAGAAATTGCCATCCAACAACATCGAGAAGACCAAAAATTTTCCACCTCTTTCCTCACTGGAAGCCACTTGTTACACTAAAAAAGCTTTGTATTAGAATGCATTTAGTGCCAATTTCTTCTGCACTACAACACAAATAGCAATGATAAGCAGACTAAGCTGTCCTTAAGAGAATTATTTGGGCACAACATGAGAAAGTAGGTTTCTCTGGAAAAGACAATAATGCTGAGAAGGGTTGAAGGCAGCAGGAAAAGAGAAAGACCAAATATGAGATGGAATCACTTCCTGAATGAAGCCGTAGGGTTGAGTTTACAGGAACTGAGCAGGGCTGTTGAGGACAGAATATTTTGGAAATTGCTCATTCATAGGGCCACCATAAGTCAGAGGTGACTTGATGGCACATAACAAGGGAATTCTTAAAAGTCAGTGAAAGCTTGATAGTTTGCAAAGTTTATGAATTGTCATCATGATCACATCATCTGAATTAAAGATAAAATTCCAGAAAGCATAAATAGGGTTTTAGCATTAAAATGGATACACGTACAATGAACTGATAGTCCAGCAAATGAACATTCAAAAGGTGCCCAAGTCAAACATAGATTCAGAACAACTACTACAAAAAATAAAAACCCTAGCTATCCTAAGCTACTACCTACAATAAAGCAAAACTTCAACATGGTTCTAGAGCATGTTCAGAGTACAAATAAGGTAGCAAAGCAGCAGTTAAGCATAGCATTCTCTTGAGAGAGACTAGGCTAAACTATGCAAATTATTTTCCATTTTCCATTTTAATACCCATCATCCACTTTTCTAGACCTGTCAAGCTCCGAGTTCCACCAAACCTTCTCAAAACAAATAACTTCTCCCAAAGTAACTTCATTCTCTCCCCCTTCCTTCACTTCAACTGAAACCAGTTTTCTTAATTAGCTGGTACCAGGAGTGAGCTTTGGCCTTGGAAATTCCTTCTTACACTGATACAACACAGCTGGTAGAATCTTCTAATTAACAGGCTATTTCTCTTTTCTGGCCTACCCACCCCAGCACAAGCTAACAAGCCTGCATTTCCAAAAGCAACTGAAACCATCATCCACTCACTTTCCAGGTTCTTGACAACTTGTGTTCAATTTGACAACCCAACAGGGGGGTCCGCAATGATGATTTGTTCCTGTGAATGTACAATGGTTCTGAATGATTCTGTGGTGTGGTTGAACATACACGGAAACAGCCCTTATTGGCATATTTCTTGAGAAGGAAATAAAAAGATTTATTGCTTTCACAAGAGAAAGTGAAGTGCCTGGCAGCAATGAATTCCCAGGCGGCCCTCTAGAATTCTTTTATTGGTTTTTTACATCAGTGGTCAAATATTCTTTTGTAACAAATATCAGTGTTTGGAATTCTTTCAAGTAATGGACCATCTGGTTTTGTATACCTGTAATTCACCTATTATTCACAATGATGTAAAGTATATCAACAGGAGAATAGGTGGAAATGCCTCCAGAAGAGCGGGAGGGGGAGGACAGTCCACAAGGATAGCATAGCAACCAGGTGTTTGGATTGACAGGCAATTAACTATTTCAGCTTCTCATTGCACATGTGGTTAAAAAAAACAGGGGGGGACTCAAAATAGTACTGCAACTTGTGAAACAGTTTTAAAACTTATTTTCTCCATGTAAGTTTTGTAAGTTACATGGGCAATATATGATTATAAAGATTATAAATATGAAATTTACCTCAATGGAAACATGGTTTAGCAGCAGATTTATCACTATCAGTCCTTTACTTCCAGTTCTCCTTCACATAATTTTTAAATTACTTCTTTACTTGCCTCCAACTCCCCAACTCCTTCCCTGGATGATATAGCTGCTTCCTGATAATAGGAACTCATCAGAAGCGTGACCTGACAGAGAGGAGAAACAAATATGGGTTCTTGACAATATGTGTTTCTGACAGACTTCAAATGACATATACGACTGATGGTTGTACAATATGCATCTATAGTATATAGAACCAAAGAGCTGTAAAACACAAAGGAATTAGCTTTTGGGACATTACCTTGGCCTTCACACAGTAATCCACATCCCTGGGAGATGGGAAACTGAAGTGAGTAGTTGAGAACTCTTCCAGAGGGAACAGGGAGTCCCTTCTTCTCCGAGTTCAACACAATGATTCAGATAGTGTTCTGCAGCTCAGCATATGTAGGGGTGATTATGTCATCATCAGTGCCAAATCTCTGCTGATTGAAGGCAGTTTTGGAGTACATGTGAGCCCTGGTTATGCAAGAGAAATGCCCCCCCCCGTCTTCTCACTTCTTCTGCTTCTTATACGAGTAGTCGTGCGTTGTGGTCACATGGCATAGATCGTGATAGTGGTTCATACGTTTTTTAACCATTCCACTTTTGGGGGGTGAATTAGATGCAGTACATTTGTCTACATTCCTTGAATGGGACATAACCTTTTCTTGTGCCTTCTCTGCCCCTTCCTTTAAAAAAAACATTTTGTGTGAGTACCTCACGGTGTCAGCAAAAGGGACATTTCTTCCTGTTTCCGTGCTTTGTTACCCTCTGTGGAGGAGCTCATAACACACTGTAGTGGTGGTCAAAAGACAGTAGGGGGACTGAGGCTCTTTGAAAATTAATTTTAAAAAATTAAGGGAGTCAAACAAAAGTGGGTGGGGGAACTGAGACCATCCAGCAGATGTATAGGAAATGAATCAGGTTTGGAGTACACACTCAGTGGGATATCAGTTGTAATGCTCAATGAAACATGGAACAAATATACCAGTAACCTCTTAGTGGTTTTGCCACAGAGATAAACACGAAGGGGGGGGGGGACAAAAGAATCGATAACGGCCTTGTGTTGTCTGAACCTAAACAAAAAAGGTCAACATTCACAAGGTGTAATTCAGAAACATTTTGCTGGTGTGACCACAGCCTCATTTACAATGTGATAAAGTCGCATGCTCTCTGGAATCTTCACAGAAAGCCTTTAATTGCTGGTGATTTTCCACTGCTACTGATTGTCATCACTGTTGCACACATAGAGCTGTGGATTTGAGCCCATTTACCATAAATTAGAGTGGAACTTAAGCGGGATTTACATCTACACTGTCTTGGACTACTGCCTGCACGTACACACACACACACACACACACACACACACACACACACACACACACACACACACACACACACACACACACACACACACACAAAGGGACAGCTACTGCTGCCACTCCTGCTTAGCTTCAGAAAGCAAACAAACACAAGTTGTCCACAACCATCCAGCATTTCCACGCAGTGCTAGCACCGCCAGCAACTTCTTCTTCCACTGACTCTCACAGCGCTCAGTGCCTTGTTCCCACTGATGCTACTCTTGGGCTGCACAGATGACAAGAATTGCTGAGGGAAAGGGTAGGTCAGCTGTTTTGGCAGGGGGAGGGGGAGGGCACAAAAACCTATACAAAATTGTGTGGCCATAAGTCAGCACCCTTGTCTTGTGTTTCACTTATTGCAACTATCTGCTATCTGGGCAGAGTATTGTATCCTTCCAGGTGGGAAAATTACAGCTTTGAGCTCTCTGACAATGGAGTCTCCTAGCAACTGAAGTGCATTGCTGAGGGGAAGAGATGTGGACTGTGAGCAACTCATTTAAAATATGTTCACATTTATTGTGCAATAAAACAACTGTGAAGACGTTTCCCTAATGGGAAACAAAGATTGCTTTGGCTTGGCAAATGTGTGAGTTGCCTAAATGTTTTTTTCCTCCAACACTTTGGTTTCTTACCAAAATACTTTAGCTGTTAAATCTTCATGCCAGCTAAAGATGCAACCTCCCTCCTTCAATATGATGAGGACAAAAAATGCCAAGTATATTATAATTTACCAAGTGACATTTTTCTAACAATGCTTCCCCAAGGAACAGGCAGTTCCAAGGCCAGAGAACACTCAGAATGGTCCTTCTTTCTCTGCCAGGGCTTGTCACATAAGTCACAGAACAATGGCCAGGAGAGCTGGGTCTCTTTTACTTTTGACATGTGGACTGAGAAATATTTGAGAGACATAATTAGATATCCAGCCAGGAGAACCTAGGGCGTCCCAAGGTGTTCCATCTCTGCCATCTGGATCGGGGCCTGAAAGACCAAGGGAAAGTATTTCACAACATCAGTTTTGGTTCCAGGCACAGCTGTTAAGGCATCTTTGTGGTGTTTAAACTAATATGAAGCAGTTTTAACTCTGGCCTTCCAGTTACTGACCTTTTAAAAAAGCATTATCACTGAATACATTGCCCTTGTTTCTGTAGAGTGAAACAAGCCACTGGCAGGGGTTTCCCAAACCACTGGCCGCTTCTTATTGTTGAATTTTCTCAACACAATAATGATGGAATTGTTCTTGGTCCTATAGTTCTATAGAGAATATTCCGTATAAAACGGAAGTACATGTATATGCCAAATGTGCTTGATTTTAGTGATTCTCGTTATCGTAACATCTTTGAAAAGGGATTGGAAACTCTGATACAGGTGTATTTTATACATGTCTTACATTGAATGTTTTATTCTTCTGATCATAGTCAAATATGAGTTTCTGCTCAATATATTACATGCACCAAATTCTATGGTCATCTACTGGGTGGTATACAGCCAGTCCTTGAAGTGAAGGAAGATCTATGTGACATGAAGAACTTTCTTCACTTTAATGTTTTTTACTGCTTTTTTACAAGTGCCTACCACCCTTGCACCACATTGCAGCAAGACTTCTGTTCTTATAACACAGGTTGTAAAGTTTGAAATCTGTCACACTTTTAGAATTTGAGTTAACAATAGTAATCATGGCCTGCGGTTGGAGTGTGACAATATAGATTGATATGTGGGTGATACAATGGATATATCTCCATTTTTCAGCATTAAAACTACAACAAGCAAATGCAAATAAAATGTAATGGATTAAAAGAAAACTAAAGTTACAGGTTTTCAAGCAAGGTATCAGCTATAGTCATTAGGAACAGAATTAATGAGCAGGCTTTTATCAGGAAGGATAAAATGATTTAATTTAGAGGCCTGTCCTTTTAAACTCTGTTAACATACATAACTAAAGAAACAAACAATGGATTTGCCCATTTATTAAAGCAAAAGATAGATTTATTTTTGTTCCTATGTGAAACATGCAGCTTTATCACTTGGTGGACCACAGAAGGTGAAAGACAAGTTTATATAATGAACACAATTAAGATGTTTATTGGTAGCATTATTTACATAAGGGAGTAAGGTGTGGTTTTCAAAATTTAAATGCCAGCATGAGATTGCTTCAGTGTATAGTTCTTATGTTAAATATGCACAGTGAAAGTCCTGATGCATGAGAATGTTTTTGCTGTCTAAATAAACTCTCAGTAGCTTTCATTTCAGAACAGATCTCCATAACTTCTATCTATCCCACTCAGCCATTCACATCCTAGGAAAAATGCTGTATGACAGTCTTCCTTGACCAAAGCTGTCCCTGTTGTTTTGAATCCTTCTTTCCACTGCCTTTGAAACTGCTCTTTTACAGCCATTGAGAAGGCTCTTTCTCATGTCTCTATTGAACATGCCATTAAGGATACTTGGACAGAGAGAAGACCCCTCCATGAAAATATCAGAGCCCAGGTGGATATTAAAAGGGAGAATATGGTCCTTCAGATAGCACAGACCTGGGCCATATAAGTGCATGTGCTAGTGCAGATGCCTTTGTGAAATATCTGAAGTGTGATCTCCAGCACTACATTTTGCTTTGAATGCTTGGAGCCTTGTTTTTGAGACAGTATTTTGCTATAATGACATTTAAAATCATTCCCAGAAAAGATACCACCTATTTTCAAAGTCTTTGAAGTTGTAGCCATATTAGTATTTCAGTAAGAAACACAAAACAAAACAAAAGCAAAAAAAGACATTATGGCACCTTAAAACTTGTATATTTAAATGTAAGCTTTTGTGGAACATGTCCATTTTATTAGATATAAGAGTCAGAATACAGAGACTACATGGTAAAACATTCATGTAAGGTTCTAAGATAAAGGGACAGTGGTGTTTGATTGCTTCTAGTAATTATTTAAGACCCCTTTTGGTATACAGTTCTTTTGAAGCTTGACTCTGTAAAGAGCAACAATGATTAAAAGAAACAACAGAGGAACAACTTGTGGCAATGTAGGGAATGACAGATTTTACTTATAAGCCTTGTTCTAAAAGGATGGTTCTGGTTAACTGGAAAGGGAAATAACAGTAGATAACAACATAATTATTACATTTGGTAATGGCTTAAGAAACCTTGGCTAATATTTAATCCACTGATATAGGTGTCCAACATGTGTATATATTTTATCTCAGTTGTTTCTTTCTGGATTCTTGTTCTGTAATTTTTCTTCTCCAGAATAGCAACTTCCTTATCTTGTGAAGAGTGTCCTGGTTGATTGAAGTGATCTGATACAGGTTTCTGCGTAATGTAATTTCTAATTTATGACCATTAATTCTCTTGTGTAGAGATTGTCCTGTTTGTCCAGTGTAGAGGTAAAAGATGGCACAGATCACATTAACAAAGGAACAAGTAAAAGCACTCTTGATATTGTTTGTAACATTGTTGGGTCCTGTGATCATACTGTCAGACTAAATGTGGGGGCAGAGCTGGCATCTGGGTTTGTAGCAGGGCATAGTTCCCATTGTTGTATCAGTGTCATGTAATTCATCATGTGTCAATAGTTGCTTGAGATTGTGGGGATTTCTGTAAGCAAATATTGGCCTGCCACCATGTGCTTGGGAAAGTGAAGTATTCTTGTCAAGGATTGGTTGAAGATAATTTATGATGCATGTGAGTGTTCTCAGTTATGGACTGAAAGTGATGACAAGCAGCATCTTGCCCAAATACCCATAAGCAACCCACTGAAAGACAGATCCAGAAGAGAAACCTACCAGGGTATTCATCTTGCCCAGTTAATTTGTTCTTTAACCATATAGGTCTATTTTCAGATACTGATGAGTGGGAAAGTGGTGGAATTCTTTTGTTTTGTTTTGTTTGCAATGCCTGCTTCAAAGATCCGTGTGAAAGTGTTCAGAGCTTTGAACTGTCATGCTGAATGCTCATGCCATGTTTTCCTTACTGTTAAAACATTTATTTATTTTGTTGCTTGCTTGAACATTTTTCTGACCCTGGTTTCTACTTTCTGTGTTTTCTAGCCATAGTAATTCTATTTATGAGATTACTAAAAATGCCATTCGCTTTTGAAAGTGTTTGAATTTT